CTTCTAAAGAATTATCTTCCATCCATTATCACTTCTTTCCTTTTGAGTATGTCAAGAGAACAAAGTGATCCTGGTGAGTAGACTTAGAAAGACAATCTTATCTACCGAAATTATCGTTGGGAAACAGACTGTAATGAGGATATCAATCGCCTTTTTTGTTAGTGTTTAGAAATTTTATACACTTTAAACTTTGTCTACTTCCCAACATGGTCAAAACAGTTTACCAGTTCATCGTTAAACAACAATATGACCATCTGCAAATGATTTGTTTATGCGTATAAATGAATGCAGGTAAGGATCAATGTCTTTTGCGCAAAATACTATTATCATATCCTACCACGTCAAAAACAGACATCAAGACTACAAGGTAGGTAGGTACAAGCGTTTAACTCTAAATACATGCATTTAACAGAATATTATCAATAACAACAATACAATGATTACATACTGTATATCTTACTAATGTGATAGAAAAACTGTAAAAACATACATATGCTAACAACAGTATTTAGTAATCCTGTTCCAAGATATGTACAGTCGAATTAAATTTCGCTATTTTTATACTTATAATATAACTTATAATTTGAACAAACCTGTCCAAGTTAGATTTTGTTTCTCATAGACAAAGAAAAGCGTTTTTTTTGTTTGTTTTTTTTGATATGCCATTTAATTATTAATATATTTGATTATTACAAACTTTTCTTTTGTGTCAGTAATATAAAATATTTACGAACCTATATAATTTTATGTTCTGGACTCTTTAAGCTTCAACATGAAAACTAACATTTAAAAAAAATTCAATTCACGAACTTTATAATATATTAATTATTAACTGTATAACCTTCCTGTAAAACATTTAATAACACTGTCAAGGAATACTGATTACATATTACTTCATAATTAATAATAATAAATAATGTGCATAGTACAACTTTGTTGTTGAATACATTATTTGACGATGATTGACTTGCCAATCATTACTTCGAAAACAAATAATTCTATAACAACAGAATTCCTGGCATTGGCGTTTACTTAATCACGTTATTTCAGGAACTCTGAAATTTTATGTAAAATGTGTATTTTATTATATAACAAAGAGCGAGTTTTGGGATATATATAGATATAGATATCTGATAAAATGAAATATATAAATGTAACCGACCTTATACAAAATCTAAATCATGTTATACACACTATATATTGCAATATATACAGTAATTCCTGTAACCGACTGTTTGACGAGAGAGAGAGGGGGGGGGGGGGTATTGAAGTTAATTATGAACATCATATAGTTTAATATGTAATTAACTGCTGTTTGGTGAAATAATTGGAGGCTCCCTAGAGTACATGTTCACAAACGCCGAAACACAGCAAGCTCACTAATAATGAAACAGGCAGTGTTAAAGGTTAGACCAATTAAAACACAAAATCGTTAAAATACGCAGTCGTATCTATAACGAAGCTAGAACATAACATGGAAACAACTTATGCAACCTTATTCATCAGATATATAGTATATGTGCTAGAAAAAATTGGAAATTCGAACATTACGACATGCTTTCGCCTGATCCACTAAACAAGGACAATGTATGATTTTAAAATTATTGTTTAAACTCTTCAGTATTTAGTGGTGTGCATGTTGTAATGATGCAGAAACTCAGAATTATACAGGAAATATGATCAATTATGTTTTTGTTCTCTTTTTTAACAGTTAAAATGATTGATTAAACTCTCCAGTATTTAGTGGCATCATGTTGTAATGATGCAGAAACTCATAATTATACAGGAAAGATGATTAATTTTGGTTTTTAACAGTTTTTAATGTAACATACCGAAACCCAACAAATAGTTTAGTGTTTGAAACAATAAATAATACAATCTCGAAGTTGGTGAAGAATATAAAAAAAGGTTGTAATATTAAACATTAAACGTAATGAATTGTATGTAACCCAGTGTCTAAGTGCTTTGTTTGACAAGTTAAAACTGGGGATTTAGTCGCCGCAATGGAGAGAATTGTGAAAACACTCTTTATAGCTTTGCCTTGAAAAACAAACAATAACTCGCGTATATTGAATAACGGAACTTTAGTAAGAACATTCTCGTGTTTTCTGTTTTTCACAACTATAAAAATAAAGACAATATCCACAGTAAAAAAACTTTCAAATAAAAAATACTGACTCTACTAATAGTATATCTTTATAAAGTAACTGTAGTATTATTATTATTACTTAAGAAGTTAGAATGGAATAAGAAAGTGAGTTATTCGCTTAATATCCATTTTAAAACATTTAAAATTATGAAATATGCATGTTTATAGATTTGATGTTTTACTCCTTAAATTTGCCTTAGATTAATGTATATATTAATGTAATTTTTGGGTGCTTTTAAAAAAGGCCTTTTTTTCTTAGAACGTCGCACGTTATGTTTACCCGAATGTCAATGTATAATTGTTACAACTTACCTGAGTTGTTTCAAAAAAGTATGATAAACAAGTTTCGGGTTCCTTGTTTTAGTTTGTTAAGATAAGCGACAAATATACCGTTCACGAAACCTATCCTTCTCAAGTAATACCTCGACGACCAATAGGAACAGTAGGAAAAGTTACATCGTGGAAGACTATGAAACTTAGACACATCAAAAGCATATAATGTTCTTCACTTTTCGAAGATGAAACAGGAACTGCACGTGACGCAATAACAACTTTTGCTGGCTCATGACTAGTATTACTCTTATCTGTCAATCAGGCGACTAACTCGAAAAATGCGCATCGTTCAATGTGCCGTCATAACAGGGATATCACAGTACAAGTCGACACGGCAAGAGTTTAGTCTTGTACCCCTTCCTGCGTATTTGATCCGACGTAACATGCAGCAAACTGATCTTAGTTCCATACAAACACACAAGGGGGATCAATGATCCTGACGCTAGCCTCTAACTCTCATGACAAAAGATATAAACTTGGTCGGCGCTGATAGGACTTGGAACGCTACGTACTGGGACCATGGACGAGACTAGTCTGGTAACTGAGACCAATCAGCGAACAGAATCTTCAGTGACGGCCGATATTATAGCATCAGGCTCCACACTGACTAAGATGTCGCATGGAGAGACGGGAATTTGATTAGCAGGTAAAGATTGATAGATACGATGTGAGCCCAGCGCTTAACATATGTTTGTAAATTTATCCATTTTTGCATACCAAATCAATGATCGTCACATACAATACAATGTCATCATCAGAAATGCTGTTGAGGGACTTGCTACTGACAGGCTACTTCCTTCCACTTCTAGTCTATCAGTGCAAAATTAATACCCTGCGCAACTTTGCAACAAAATCAAAACAAACAATATTGACTCTTAAACTCTGGTAAAATAATCTTACAAAATAAAAATGCTGATTATGAAATTTAGATGGCTACAAATAAAACTTTAACAGAATTGCATAAGTTTCTTAATCTGTATTTCGTTGGGGGAAAATATCCTTCATTTTGATATTTCAAGGTATAAATACTTCAATTTAGCTTATTTTCCTAACTTAGATAGGTATATTAAATTAGCTACATTATTTAATGGGTACTTAGTTAGCTTGCTATGATCAAAAGTAATAACAATACAACTGGTATTTGTTAATATATTATACATATATAAAGAAGTATTTTCCTACTTAGATCAGTATAATAAATTAGCTACATTATTTAATGGGTACTTAGTTAGCTTGCTATGATCAGAAGTAATAACAGTACATCTGGTGTATTTGTTGATATATTATACATATATAAAGAAGTATTTTCCTACTTAGATCAGTATGATAAATTAGCTACATTATTTAAAGGGTAGTAAGCTAGCTTGCTATGATCAGAAGTAATAACAATACAACTGGAATTTGTTGATATGTTATAGACATAAACAAGTATTGTTTTATATACAATGAACTCGAAGCCTCTAAGACATTAATTTTACTTTTTATTCCCTTACTTAATGAAAGCCTGGTGGTTAGGTCACTTGACTCGCAATCTCTAGGTCGTGGGTTCGAATCTCGTCGCTAAACATGTTCATCGTTTCAGCCGTGGATGCGTTATAATGTACGGTCAATCCCACTATTCGTTGGTAAAAGAATAGCCCAAGAGTTGGCGGTGGGTGGTGATGACTAGCTGCCTTCCCTCTAGTCTTTCACTGCTAAATTAGGGGCGGCTAGCCCAGATAGCCCTCGTGTAGCTTTGCGCAAAATTCAACAGTCAAACAAACAAATCTTATTTCATGACTCGCGGTGTTATTCGATGTTATTTAATATCTCTATAAGGATAAGCTTATGACGCTAAAAAAATGGGTTGCTATGCGGTGTGCATAGCACAGATAACCCGTTGTGTGGCTTCGCCCTTCTCAACAAACACACCCATTCTGGTTTTCAATAATATAACAGCTTAGTAGCACATAAAACTAGTTTATTCGATACATTGCACTACCAATAAAAAGTAAATACATCCAAGACCTACAATGTTGATTATAATTTAGGACTATTTACTTGTGTTTTCTGAACAAATAATCAATTTCATGGGTAGACATTCACAAATGTTATGATAAGGTGCAATATGCTATGTTATGCTTTTCAGAGCTATTGAGTTAGTATACTCAAATTAAATTGTTATATTTTTTTCAGTTAATCTAATGTATTTTTGATGTTGCAGTTCGCTTATACAGATAGTTACCAGCAGAACACCTTTGAATAAGTATTCTTAGAACAGATGAATTTTCTAATCTAAAATTAATGAAGAATGTGCAAGAATGACATTCTTTTGTATAAACATTAACTCTGTGTAGACGCTGTAGTTTTTACAAATGTAACAGTTCCTGAAACTAAGCTCAGAATAAAGTTTCATATTACCTAACGTATTTATTAACTAAGGAATAAAAATATTAGGATATTAGTTAGCATTTACTTTAAAAAATACCAGTAAGGCGGTAGCACTACCTATGTAGTTGGTATTTCAAATATATCCTCAATAGGTCATCAGAACTTTACAACACTATACGGTGTTTCCTTTTATAACAATATCTATGTAACGACTGAGTCACAAGTTCTGGGAATGTCTGTAAATATCATTGCAAAAAGTTTGATTTTCTTGTTCGTCTTTCTGCTGCTTCTTTTTTTATCACACGATAACTCAAAAACCAAAATAACGGCTTCAACCAGTTTCTCTGAGGTGATATGTAGTTTCAAACCTCTTGTTATCATTACCCCTTGAAGTTAACTTTGGTGTTCTTTTAAAAGGCTTAAGTACAGGATGAAACAGGAATTACCAGCCAACGATAGGTAAACAATAAATATTACAGTTGTAACCTCAATGTATTTAGAACATGGTTTTAAATACAACCTTCCTGCATCTATTGAAACACTGCATTAAAAAAGCAAACAAGTAAGGAAAAAACTTTCCAAACAATAAAAGGAAGTATATGTAGGGATGGCTAATATTAATCCTTCAGAAACAATGGAATTTGCATCATCCTTACATAATAACACAGGTAAGAATTAACATATAGCAATATATATAAGTATTTAATCACAATTGAGTTTAATGTATCCTATTTTTGTATGTTAATATTCTACTACATTGTGTGCCTGGGCTATTACACAGGGATGATGCAAGTACCATCCCCACTGTCTTGTTTGCATTGTTTTTGAATGATTGATATTAGCCATTCCTACATCTATTTCGTTTTTGAAAAGTTTTTCTTTACTTGTAAATTATAAAAGTTACTGTTTACGTCCTGTATATTCGCTTATTCATTCCAAGCAGTTTGTAGATTTCAAACATATAAAACGATTGTGAGAGCATACCTATGTAAGTATATGTTAAAAACAAACTAACCTCAAAAAGGGTTTGATGTTGAGAATACTAACTCCAAGTCTATGCAAAACAATAAGAATCATCATCAGTTTTACTGAGCTGCATATCAGAAGGTCTAAGGTTCGAGCCCGCGATATCCGTTTAACACGTTCAATACTTTCATTCTAAAAGAAGAGACATTAAATACCGCTGTTTGATTAAGGGTGGTTGTGTAGGCAGCAAAAGTTCAATTCTATAGGGACGTTTATGGCTGAATTCTGTGATCTCAGAGTGATTGCGGGTTGAATAAGGTGTCATCCAGGTTCAAATTACTATGCACCTAATATAACAAAACATCAGAATACTGGCTAGCAATTACTCACTTTTAACAACTGGTAAAGAAGTTAACAATGTGAAAACACAGAGAACAGAATTTTTTATGTTTTTAATGAATACACCTTTTTCACACGGAAATGCACCCTGTTTGGTCAGTGATAAGGTTACGGACCGAGGCTCCACTCCCCGTTGTGCATATAGTCTGTTATGTAAGTAAAACAAACAAGCGAAATGCATATGGAAACAGCAGTTTATTTTAATGTATTCTGACATATTCAATTTGAACATTTTTATAAAACCAAACAATTTATTTTGAAAGAAAAATCAAAATATTTATGACTTCCTGTAACTATTACAGTTAGACCTTGAGACTGATACTTGTCTAAAAACTAAAGTTTGATTCTTTGATTTAACTTTTATGACCTTTCGACCTTTTGTGGTATATTCAGTTGAAATGAATTAATTCGAGGATAAGTCTGGTAATAACAAGATATTCGACAAGACAGACAGAGTTTCGTGAGACAGTCTTGAATGTATTCTGACTGAGCTTAAGTCTAGAAATAAACAACTTGACTGTGTAATAATTAATTATACTTGTAATTATATATTAACACTAGGCCAATTATATTTCTAAACACTACATTTCGTATCTAGTCCCTTCCAAATTTTCAAGAATTAGAAATGTGTATAATAATTGTGTTTCAACTACACCATATTCGTCATATCCATTGCGAACGACGCGTTTCACTCAATACAGGCCGGCTGGGATACAATAAATACAGTAGTGGTCGTAACGCTATTTACATAAGTCATATGTCACAACAACAACTGATCTTTTACAAACGTGTGAATAGTGATTATATTTAATTATATTTTTCATAAGAAATTAGTACATTAACATGAGTATTATGGAAAATACATCCGTAGAATGATATTGTATGTGTATATCACCCGTTGCATGTGAACTGCGTGATTCACAAGTCATCCATGGTTCTGTTTGCTTGATCAATACTCAACTAGTTGTGCTGCCACTATTACTCTTCACACAGCAAAGTGTAGCACATTCTCGGAAATCGGGGTCCGACACATATACACAGCTAACACTAATCTTCCCTTTTTGTCAACAAGAAACAACGGACTATCCATAGTTTTTCTATGGGAATCTCCTCTCAAATACAAGTTTTCTGCTAGTAATTTTCAACGTTTCGCTTTCCCCTAGAAGTTTCACAATCTGCATCATATCTGCTATTTCTACTGACACAACGTTAAGAAAACACCCAGAAAGTGGTCTGTCTCTTTAAGTATTTAATATATTTTATCGATGTGATTGATAATTGCGAAGTTATTTACTACTGACAATTTCACTCACTAAAATATTTTGATCCTAAATATTCCACACTATTCTTGGAAGAAGACTACAGGTAAAACTGTCTTTTCTCTCACACTTTTCTGTGAGATTTTTCAATGTCAAAATAGAAACATTCTATCTCTATCACTATTAAAAAAATAATACGAATTTGCAAGTAACACTACACATACCAGTACTAACAGTTAACTTCATATCACGAAGTTTTCACAATAGGATCAAACTATTATCAAGTAGCTCAATTGTGTTTCTCCAACAATTAACACATTCATGTTATGCAACACTCTCATGAATGAGCTAATGTTTTAACATGTGGTCATATACTCTAACAGCTGCGAATCAATTAATATCCAAAGTTTGAATCAGGCACGGCAGTGAAACTCAAGCATTTTCTTCTACAGGCTCTGACAAAATAAATACCTAAGACGAAA